TCCTAAAACACAATGTACTATTCTCGCTTATTCCCTAACTCAACTTGTTGAGTGAGTGAGCAACCACTTATTCTTGAGGTCACATTTTTTTATTTTTAAATCAGTATCCTCCCATGCAAGGCAGTAAAGTCATTAAGAAGGGGTTACAGAGTGTGGAAGAATTAAGAACAGAAATATTAATAATGAGCAGGAAGAAGACTAATCAAGGGACAGTAGATAGTGATTGACATTGCATTTAAATTTTTGCAGGAGGGAGTTCTATAAGCAAGAAGTGTGAGAAAAGAAACTGTTAGCATAGAATTTACAGTTATATCTAGCCAGCTCAACTGTAAATTGATGAGATCTCTATGCCAGTTTATACTGTGCTTAAATTTAAAAAGTCTAAGTACCATCGTAAAGAGGTCATCCAAACAATTACCATAAAATTATTTATAGAAAAGACAGAGAGAGGCAACTTTACAATGGTGAGAAAGTGACTGAAGCCAAGCCACCAGATCAGCATAATATTGCTGATTCTTCCTTGGATTTTATCAAATAGTTCAAGGTAAATAGCAGGGGCACTGGATTATATGTGACAGCAATATTCTAAGCATAGGTGAATGGTAAACTTATCGATATGCAAGATGGATTCTGAAGATAAAAATTGTCTAGCACGATACAGTGAACTAACTTTCTTAGCAGCTGACCTAGCAACGGATTCAATATACTCTTTCCACTTCATGTCAGCTGAGAACACTAGCCTGCAACAAGTCACTTTCCTAGAGGTTAGCATCAGCTTGTTGTAAGAACCTTTATAACTTTACTTATTCTTTTAAAGAATAGAGAAATGATTATCCTGACAAGATAACCATTTCTCTTTCATTTAGTTTATTCTTTTCCCTGAATTCTTCTCACCAACTCTGCACAAGAAATTTTGTTTGTCATTACGGCATCCTGTGGGAAAATTAAACAAATAAAATAATAATAAAGAATAAAAAAGAAATTCATTTTTCATGATGCAAGCTATAAAGAAACCAGAAAGGGTTTCTGGTTACATGTGCAATTTTATGACCCCACTTTTTGAAACAGAATCTTTCTCTTTCCAATGACATCATTCAGACATGTTTTAGCAGCTTTACTCATGAAATAATGATTTTGTTGTTCCAACTCAACACAAGTGTGACTTGAGCTTGACCACCTTTACCCATTTTTATCCTTACTCGTCTCATATTTCTGAACAAAAAAAAAAAAAGACATACCCAAGAGACATTGAGAACTTTGTTTCACTACAGTCACCATAAAAGGAATAAATATCCAAAGTAGAAACTCAAGTTTTTGCATACTTCTTCCATCATACACCTCCACCTAAAATACACACAAACTTACAAATACTGTATCTTCCACAACTCTTCCAACCTAAAAGACAAGATTTCCTTTAATCTCTGCCCTCAGCATGGTGCTTATTTGGTATAGCACACTTATGGCTCTTCAAATAATTTTCTCCATGGCATGATCAGTTTGTTAATTAAATTTGTATAAAAACTCCCTGCAGTACATTCATTCAAACTGGTGCATTTATTTGATAATCTGAAAAATTCTCACCAGCATCACTATCCCAGACAGTACTTGTATTTGGTACAAAGAGTAATTTTTGTTTATCAATGAGAATTGATTGATTTGTTTCTTTTTGTGGCTTATCAACCATTCAGGAGTTATTAAATCAAACATTTTGGATTGCAAGAATAATTTATGTTTTTACCAGTATATTCAATAGTGTTTGAGAGTAATAGTTTTTCCAGATAAAAGTCATATTTAACCCATAGATGAGGAGAGATTCATACCTTTAAAAGAAAAGAAAATCAGGAAGAAAGGAATTGTTAGTGGTCAGAAATTAAGACAAGCATAACTGACAGGATATGGTTGTGTATATTATAAATAAATGGGCATGTGGTTAGAACATCCGCCTTCCAACCATGAGATCCAGGTTCAAAATCTTACTATGGTCAATTCATCAGAAAGGTGATTTGATGTTATCGATCTGTAGTGACAATGCCAGCATGCAGCACCTTTGGAAAGTACTTGAAAACCATACCACAGGTTTACTGAAGCCTTGTGAGTGAAATTGGGTAGATGGAACTATTTGGAAGCCATCGTGACTGAGGGTTTGAACATATTGGCCTTGTTTAGACTGAACTAGATAATGCACTCTCCCAGAAACTGTAATTAAGGTCTACTTAGTATAGTTACAGCAAAAACCACAAGTGGGCTCCGTGGGTGTTGAAAAAGCACAAATGTGCCTGAGCAGACATCTGCAATAGGGAGTGGCTAGCCACTCTAGCAAACAGGCATACTCTGATACAAGCGGCAAGCCATTGCCATTATTATAAATGATTTTATAACAGAAATTGAAAATTTCTATTGTAATGGTCAGGAATAAAAGTAAAAATTACTGATATAATAGAGCCATTATGATTATAGGTATAATTTAAATATATTCCAGATTTGTTTGTTTAGTGTCATATCAATTCTTTATTGGTCATTTAATGCTAAAATTAAATTCTTTTGGGAGCATTAGTCATTTCTTTTACAAAAATGTATTGCTGGTATTTTTTACTTTCATAGTGTTTTGACTCCAGTTTGAAGGGTTAACTATTTGCCCATAACCAAGACCCTAACAGGTGCTACCACCTTGGATCAGGATGGACCTGGGGAACAATAGCAATTAAGATATGGCTCCATGCTCCTCAAAACCTCCAATCTCCCTATTAGAGGCTTTGCTGCCAGATGTAGTTCATCATCATACCTAGGACATATTGCTGATGATTTTACTATAGAAACACATTAAAAATATCAAGCAAAAGTCAATAGTATAGAAGTAAAGCAAGCATTACTAAGAGAATAGACTTATATGTATGCATTTTTTATACTATTTTTCACTCAATAAAATGCCCAAAAGTCACTCAAGGCAGAGGGTCACTGAATGAGGTTGTTGTAAAAGGAGGAAGTATGTGCATATTATGAGTGCATGTAGACTAGATAACGGTTGACACTTGGCTAGAGGAGGTTAAGAGCATAGTGATTAGGAAAGCATTCTTTTGGGAGTCTGTCCCACAAAGTAACAGTTCTGTTAGTTTTACTAATATTTTATGCATTAAAAATCAAAAAAAGATTTTTTAGTATTCAAAAAAATATTTCATTACTTAGAAAATAGAGATTATATATAATTCTAGCTAAGAATTTCCAAAAAGTTACAAAGTAAACCATTGACAATATGTTTAATGAGTCTACAGCTATATCAAAAGGACATTCCAAAAGGGAACCATAACAGATAAAAAGAGCACAATAACACTATTGGTAAGTTTTCAGCTACAAAATACTCTTTTTCTACCATCACTGTTTTTGTATTTTCACGATACTCTTTATTTCATAGGCTTATGGCCACATAACATTGAAACACAGGTTCCTGTACAATCACCAAAGTTAAGAAACATTAAACCTAATCAGATGGGTGACTGCTTGGAAATACCAAGTGCTATAAGCTTTGATGTGAAGGTGGTGTAATGGATAATGGCTCAGGTATGAATTCACCTCTTCTCCCCCACAAACTATGGATCAATTAGTAAGACTTGTATCACTAAACAATTATCTAAAAGGAAAAGAAAATTTTTTGCAATCTAAAAATATATCCTGGCTTTAAATAACCTGTAAAGGGTTGATAAGCCATAAAAACATTTTTTTATTTCATGATTCAAGAGCAGTGTAGGTAAAACGGTAACATTGTTTATCATATACATTGTTGTTGCCACTACTGAAACACATTACCCACCATCTGTGCTCACATCCACTGTGAGTTTTCTATAAATCTTCAGCAAGTGTCAATCAATGTTAATGGATGTCATTTTTTTCAAAATAGAGAATTTCAATGATGGTGTCTACATGTACTTCATTATTTTTAAAATACAAATTAACCACTTAAAAAGTTATGTATGTGAATAAGTACATGAATTTTTTTTCTAGCAAAGTAATGTTTTGTAGTTTTCATGCCATATGCTATTTTACCAGACTGCAATCTATAACAAGACCCCTACTCATAACATTAAAAAAAAAAAAAACATTGGTAAGAAGTTTTACATTTCTATCTCTGACATTGTGAGCTAACGTAAGTGGAAATATTATTATATATAAGTAAACCTTATATTTATAAATGAAAATCTGGCAATCATTAACCTTCGTGCCTGCAAAATAAATAAAAATAAAAACCTGTGTTAAAAGGATGTTTTTTCCCCTTGATACCAGTATTATTTTTAACTACCTTCACTCCTCTGCAATGTTTGTTTTAAAAAGCGATTATTAGAATTGTAATAAAACTTAAACATAATGAAAGTAAATTTGCCCATTTTCCTTTGTTCTTAAGAATTGGCAACAAAATTAATAAACACTGTTAATTTATTTACAAGGATAATTTTATATTTACAACATTCTAAAAGATAATACAATTATATTAAATCTAATACAGTGCAATATTTATCATCTAACAATTTATAAATAGATAAATATAAAAATATTTTATTCATAAATTTATAAACATTTACTAAATTATTAAAATATATGAACCAACTATAAGGAAATCTTTATTTACCATTTTATAAAGTTTGAATTGACTGGTAATTAGCTGATGCTTTGCCAAACATTCCAATAAAAAATATAAATAAATAGTGTAAATAAACAATCTAATAATGTTTAATATTCTTCTTGTAAATTCTCAAGAACAAAGAAAATGTATAAATTCACTTTCAGACTTTATTATAATTCTAATCATTGCTTTTTGAAGCAGTAATTATTGCTGAGGAGTGAAGGTAGTTAAAATAATAGCAGTGTCAAGGCAAAAACTGTCCTTTTTATACATTGCTTTATTGCAGACACAAAGGTCTAAAATTGCCAAAAATCTAGGCCAAAGGTTATACATCATGTCTGATTAATAAGGCCTTATCCGGTTAAATGGGATAATGTTGACTTTTGCCTATGGTCAAATTATCCTGTAAACACTAGTTCTCATTCAATCACCAAAGTTAAGCAGCATCGAGTCAAGTCAGTACTTAGATAGGAGACCACTTGAGAATACTAGTTACTGTAAGCAACCTCAAACAATCTGAAATATGTTTTGATTTTAAGAAACCCATAAAGGGTTGATAAGCCATAAAAAACAAATAAATCAATTGTTGACTTTTACTATTGAGTATTGATATTGATCCTCACAAGGTGCCTCATATTTGTGGCTTTGTGGCAAACTAAGCAAAACTTAGTATATACCAACTGTTATGGTACAAAGGTAGTACTATTCTATATACAGAGTAAAATAATGAACTATTTCAATCTCAACTTCTATATTATCAATTCCCCTGCTAACATGCAATTCAATAAAACTGTCCATCATTCTGTTTTTCTATTGATTAAACCAGATTAATATTCTAAGCTTAGACTTTAATGAAGAATTAATAATAGTAGTGTCTGGTGTAAGCTTATCTTTTAATGTATTGGGAATCATGCCACAGAAGTGATTTGATCTCCATAGATATAGAGCATTACTTACATCCAAACTCCAATAGCCAATAATAAATGCAAGTCAAATTAATAAATTTCAGCAAAAAGGGAGAGCCAAACTATAGCTTATGAGTTAAATGCAACTCTGAGATTTCTTCTATCTATATATAAAATTCTGTGACTTCCATTAGTTCATCCATCTGTCACAACCTCTAAAATAGTCATGCAATGACCAATCAAAATGAAATTTTGGAGAAACAGGTAAGGGGTTAAAAAGTACACTTGATTTTACTAGGTGTGTAGCTTAATACAATAAATTTTTATTAAATTTTTTTTTTTGAAGAATGAAGTGTTATTATTTAACATACAAAATACACCCACTATTTTAAAAACAATTTAATCAACCATGATAAATACTGTGAGAATTTTGATACGTATTCTAATGTCATGAAAACACAGGAGGAGCTGGGTCTAAAATAAATGCAAGTGTAAATTCTAGAGAAAAAATTCCAGAAATAAAATATCCCAAATGGAAGAAAATTACTGTGTAGTTCATCTTAATTTTCATTTCAATACAGACTATTATTCAAGATTTTGGAAGCATTTGGTAGATATGTATACACTATGATCTTTTGCAACTAAGAACTTAAAAAGCAAACTATATATGAATAAATATTGTGTACATTTATTTATTAATATTTATATAAATTTTTGTAGCAAAAGATGAAATTTCATGCTTCTCTTGAACATTATATGTGACTCAAGTGAATTTGATTATTCCAACTATAAAAGACAAAAATATTTTGGAAAAAAGAATAAAAGAAAAGTAAAAAAAAAAGAGCTGGAAAAAGAAAGAAAGAAAAAAACAATGAAAGAGAAAGACAAAGAAAGAAGAAAATAAATGAAAAAAGAAAAAGAAAAAATAAAGAATTTATATAAAGTAAGATGTTCAAAATTTCTATTCCTGACTTAAAGGTAAAATTTTTTATTATTGGATAAAAAATTATTTTTACACAATGATTTAAACTGTTATAGGGATACAAAAGGCAATTATCTTCCTTTGGTTGAGATGAAATCACATGGGCCACATGACGGCTGCTCTGAGATATCAGTTCATAGAATGATGAAAGTGGTCAATTGTTTAGTTCACTTCCTGGAGTCAAGCCAAGCATCTGCTTGTTTTACTACAGACAAAGCAAGACCTTTTCCTGGGCCAGTACACAAGCTCATAGTGCCATTTTCCTGTTGGGAAATATGTCCTCACCAGAGACAAGATAAATACAGCCTGCTCAAATTACAGAAAACAAATTTCCAGCTCAGTTTTCTTAATTGGAAATACCACTTTCCCCATTGAGAACTGTCCTCTCCAGAGACATAGAAGAAATCTGATACATTCGAATTCCCATTGAGAAATATAAATATAGCTTCTCCAAAAACAAAAAAGAATTCTTCAGAAGCTCAAATTCCCATTGGGAATTATTACAAGTAAGACCCTCTATCTCTTCCTCATTTTCACACAGCTTCTTGTTGAAGACATGTGTTATATTTTCTCTGTGAGGAACAAGTGTAAATGTTTGTATATAATTTTATGTATGACTTAGCAGTATAAAAATCTCTTTCAGAACAAAGCATATTTGTTGTCCCTTTTCTTGCAGCTGTTCTGTTCTATCTGTCTATTAAGGTGTTAGTATATCATGGGATATATCCCTTTTCTTGTGAAGCACAACCCATTACTGTAAATCAAATAATATTTTAATGTTTTTTATTATTATATTTTACTATAGTAAAACAACTATTATTTTAAATATTACAATAATACAGATTTAATGAAAATCCTTAAATATTTAAAGAAATACATTGTATCTAATATCCAATAATATTATAGAGGACAAAAACATTTTTTTAATAGAAAGATTTTATAAATTTCAACTGGAAGTTGCAGTGGCTGTTCAGTCAATGAGTGCCAAATATTTCCTTATAAGAAGCAGCTAATATTAATTATTACCATATATCCAGATACAACATATCACCTTTCCTCACAAAAGTAATATTAAATTATAATGTGGAATGAGAACAAACAATAAAAGTAAAAATGGTATAAAGCTGAATGATAGAGGTAAGTTAGATATTATTATAATTTACTGTAAGACACATTCTGGGCATCAATTAGTTCAGCCAGGTCACCAATGTCAAGGTTCTCACCTTTACCGAGTTATCCAGCCTTCTAAATGCCTTTCAACAATGCGGCCCTGCTGGCTTAGACATGTACACCATATGCCAAATGAGAGGATCCTGAAGGTCCTTCTGTATGAGTAACTGGCAACGGCAAGAGAATATGAGAGCGACTCATCTTCACTTCAAGGATGTCTGCAAAAGGAACAGGAGGGCAATGAACACAGGCATTGAGAAGATGTCACCAACAATTGTTCAAGCTGGAGACATGTAAAAAAAAACAACTAGGCATCTTCACATGCATTCCTTGTAATCAAGATTGTCACTCCTATATGGGCCTGTACAGCCGTAACAGATACTTCACCGCTATCAGCAGCTGAGGCATAACTCTTTGGGTTTCTCAAGACCGACAGATGCCACATACATTATTATAATGTCTCACCTTATGGTTCATACTGAGTTTGCTTTTTGATTAGGTGTTCAATATGGTAGCCTGGTCCATTGGTTGGTTCCTGTTGATCTTCCCCAGTTGTGTCAGCCAATGTGAATATACATGTAATGGCATATTCCACCTAGTGGAAGAAAAGGGCGCACAGGCAGACATGGAACTTTCTCAAATAACAGCTTATTTAATGCCTCCATGTTCTTTGAGAGTAGTCATAACAGATGCATCAGATTCAAAAATTTGAATTGTGTATCATTAACATTTTAATGTAAACTGTAGCCACTGTTTACTATATTTTCTCTTTTTATACAAATACTTGATTTCATTAATAGATCCATTTTTTGGAGATGTTTATTCTGAACAAAACACATTACAGTTTTCCATCTTATTTATTTATAGCCTCTTAGCTATACACAGATTAAAGTACATCTCTAAGTCTTAATATTATAACAGATTGTTTTGGCACATTAATAATTTTGCAAAAATACTGCAATCAAATAATTTTAGAGATAAGCCATGAACATTTTTTCAAACAAATAGAAGGAGTAAATGAAAAAAAAAGAAACCAATATTTTTAATACAGTATCCCATTTACAGAGCAGAGCCTCAAACCATATAATAATTATCAATGTGTATTTATATATTTCTAGTCCCATCTGTAGTGAGAAAGGAGGCAAATCAACTTAAGTTAGTAAATTTATGAGTGATTACTTACCTGAGTGGCTTTAATATACAAATAAAATATTTATCTGCATTTAGACAATTACTTCCCATGTAAAATAAATTGTTTAATCAGTTCCTTTACTCCTACGTTTCTTAGATTGTAATCTTATTTGTTCAAGCCTTTCATGTGAGGCACTCAGATACCTTTCTCTATTAAGTGATCATTTTGCTTCAACTTGGTCTTGAAATTGGTTTTGTTGTCGCAGTCTTTGTCATTCTGTTGCTAATCTTTTTCTTCCATAGATATTTCCATTTCATTGTTACATTAAACATAGAATTTTTAACATGAAACAATATTGAGCAAAAAGCAATTTTATATAATACCAGGAGTAATCAATGTATCATAGATACCATTGAACATCTAAAAAATATAAAAGAAATGGATAAATTAAATGGTTCATTGGCCTCTATTTTAGTTGTGAATTCTTTATCTCCGCTTTATTGAATCTCAATACATTGTTTCAAGACTTTTGCTTCATTGCATCTCACTATTAAAACTTTCTAACAATTGCTGTCATTTTTTACAGTATGGGTACACTAGAATGTAATAAGATTTCTAATAGCTTTCAATGGTATTCTTCCGTTTCCTCTTGGCCTCATGATTTCCACTAACATGAAGTGGAATAACCATATCGAATCAATTGCTTCGTTTACTGGAATGAAAGTAATATTACTGTGTCTTACCAGAAAATTTTTATCATCAGAATCCATCTTGCACTTTTAGAAATCTACCATTTGTCTGTGCATTGAATACTGTTGCCATATCTGGTCTGGTGCTCCTGCTGTACATTTTGAGATTCTTGACAAAATCCAAAGAAAGATCTCTAAGGTAATTGATCCTGACCAGGCATCTCACCTTGTCACCGTGATGTAGTTTCCCTATGTATTTTCATGGCAACTGCTCTGATGAGCTTAACCCCCACCCCGTGCCCCGACCACATGAATTTAAGCATGCTACCAGATTGGCAACTAGGTCCCACCATTTTACTGTTGAAATAACTAAATGCAAAGACCACTTCCACTCAACAGTTTCTTTTCTCGCACTTCCCACATGTGGACCTCCTTTCCATTTACTTGCTTCCTTGATAACTACAATCTTCAAAAATATAAATGCAATGCCAATCATGCTGTTCTATCTTCTTGAACACTGTTCATTTTTTTTTGTTTTGGTCCTTCCTTTAATCCTCGTTACTCTCAGTCTTTTCTTTCTTTTTCACTACCTGTAACCCCTAGTGTGCTAGTGGTATTGCCAC